CGTACAAGGTGTACGTCAGCGACGACCTGCGGCTTGCGCAGCCTGATGATCAGATCGAGATCCAATTAAGGATGAGTAAGGACTCCCCCTTTGGATGGTGGTTTGGGTCTATTGGTCATCTGGATAATTGCCACATGGCAGGTGTTCAAGGGGGGGGAGGGGGAGGGGGAGGGGGCGGCGGAGGCGGAGGCGGCGCGGGGCCGGGAGAAATTGGCGGGAGCGGGAATTGCTGCACGTGCAAGGAGCAGAGTGATGTGGCAATCTGCTTTGATCTGTTCCCCGAAGGCTCTCGATGGAAAGTCGCTGTGATGTCACGCCATTGCGCGGGGATGGAGTTGCCCTTCCCAGGAGCGGGACTCAAAGAGTGCGGGGCTTATCTTGGGGGCATAAGGATCCTCAGGAGTGAGAGTGACGTCAACGCCTGGCGTCGAGTCTGGCATAATAAGAAGTTTCTTCACTGATTGATTGATTGATTTTTTTTTATTTTTTTTTTCGGTCCAATTTTTCTTTTTTTTTCCCGATTTCTTGTCGTCGTCGATCGATGATGATTGATGATGATTGAGCCCTTTGGTGTGTGATGGTTCATTGGGGAACTCATCGCCTGGCTCGAATGGGGGCAAACAAATTTTTAATTGCTAAGCAATTAAAAATTAAAAGATATTACAGTAATTGCTCCCCTTGTTCCGTTCTGCCTTTTTTTTCCGTACACTATCCCGGTACTTCTACTCCAATGTACCTTTGCCCCGATCTCTGGAATCCTTTTCCTACCCTTGTTTTCTCCTCCCTCTCTCTCTCTGTCTCCATTTCTCTCTTCCTCCTCTCTCTCTCTTTCCTTCCCTTTCTCCTGCTCTCCTCCTCTCTTCCTCTCCCGCCTTCTCTCTTCCTCTCCCAGGTCTCCCTTCCTCTTCCTCTCTTTCATTCGTCCTCTCTCTTCCTCTCTTTTCTGTTCGCCTCCTCTCTCCCTCTCTCTGCTTTTCCTCGCTCTCTCTCTCTCTCCCCCCACCCTTCTTGGCCCCTTCTCTCCCTAGTCTCTCCATTCTCCTCCTCTTATTGAGGTGTTCTCAGTTCGATCAATCAATCAATCAGTCATCAATCGCTCTCTTTCTTTCCTTGTCGTGTTTTCCTTGGAATTACTCTCTCTCTCTCTTGCTCTCTCTCTCTCTCTCTTGCTCTCTCTCTCTTGCTCTCTCTCTCTTGCTCTCTCTCTCTCTCTCTCTCTCTTGCTCTCTCTCTCTCTCTCTCTTGCTCTCTCTCTCTCTTGCGCGCGCGTGCGCGCGCCCGCGGTCTCTTAAGGATATGCGCATGTTTTCCAATTTAAGGAAATCTCCCAACATGTACATTTTGGGGGGGGAAGGGAAGGGAGGGAGGGTACCTCCTTCGCCCCGCTACTGCGTTCTTGGGCGTGTCCTCTGCCGCTGCTCCATATGATCTTCGGGGGCGAGGTGCTTCATCTCTTCGGCGGGCAGAGCGTGACTTGTTTTTCTCTCTTTCACTCCCTCTTTTTCACTGCCTCTCTTTCTCTCTCTCTTCCCCTCCCCACGCTCCCTCTCTTTTTCTCTCTTCGCTCTTTTTCTTTCCCTTCGTCTTTCTTGCTTTTCTTGTTCCTCTCTTTCTCTCCCCCTCCCCACTTCTCTCCCCGCCTCCTTCGCCCTCTCTCTCCACCGCCTTCTCTCTCCTTGACCCCCTTTTCACGCTCTCACCCTGTGCGTCTCTTTCGCTCTTCCTGCATTTCGCCCAGTTTGTCGCTGTTGCCCTGCAGCACTCGTTTTGCCTCTTCGTTTCTTGTTTGTCTTCCTTCCTCTTTCGTCCTCCCTCCCTCCCTCCCTCCCTCGAATCTCTTTGATCGTTCGCTGAATATTCGTTCTTTGACATTTTCTCTGCCTTCCTCGTTAGCTTAAACTCGCGTAGCTGTGTCCCTGGAGTTGGGATCGGCTTCGGTCGGTTAGCAGGAAATTGTCTTCGACGGGAAGGGACGGGTGGGGGGGGCTAAGAAGTGACATCTAGTGTCATTAAACTTTTGACCATCAATTTGAGTGAAACATATCGACAAACAGATCATCGAAAGACAGACAGACGGCGGACAGACAAACACACAATGTACCAAGCATTTGTTTGTAGTAAGGTACCATTAAGTCGGGGTCTGCGGCACTTGTGTCTTCTTGATTGCTTCGTCTTCCGAGGATCAGAATGCACCTTGTAAACCAGCCAATCATACTTGTTGACGTTTCCTCTCTCTCTCTCTCTCTCTCTGTGTCTCCACGTCTACGTCTCCCTCGATCACGTGGGTCTGTATATCATATATCATCTAATTGAAGTACACGCCCAGCTGCGCGCCACTCGTCATCTAGATCTACACTGGTTGCAGAGAGGAAGTATGTGTTATGCCACGTGTCACGTTTACGACAGTCTCTCTCTCTCTCTCTCTCCATCTCTCTCTATGACTTAGGTTTGTATATCATATAATTGAAGTACAATGACGAGCTGGGCACCACATATCATCGACGATTTGTCCTGGCTTCAGAGAGGCGTTAAGTGTTATGCCACCTGTCACGTTTACGAGACTCTCTCTCTCTCTCTCTCTCTCTCTCTCTCTCTCTCTTCTCTCTCTCTGTCTCTCTCTTCGTCTCCGTCTACCATTTAGGTCTGTATATCATCTAATTGAAGTACATTTTCAGCTGCGCGCCACTTGTGATCAACGATTTGCCCTGGTTGCAGAGAGGCGGTGAGTGAGTGAGTGTGATGCCACGTGTCACGTTTACCAGACTGATAGCTGTCCTGCTTTCCTCCTCTGTCTGGAAGGCAGTGATGCTCATCAATCAGATTAGGTGAGATGAGGAGAAAACGGCGGGAAAAATTCCTGATCGGGTAAGGATTAATTAGATCGGACCGCGCTCGGCGCGCATTGGTAAGCCAGGATCGCTAATTCAGCAGAGATTCGGTTTGCGTAAATTGTTCTCTCTCTCTCTCTTTCTCTCTCTCTCTCTCTCTCTCTCTCTCTCGCGCGCGCGCGCGCGCGCGCACGAGCACGGTGTTTGTCAGTGTTCTGCTCACGTGAGATTACGGGATAAGTTTTTTTGCTAATTTTGGATATCGTTTTATATCCTTGGTTTTACCCGTCTGGCCATTCATTGAATTTACCCGCATTGATGGCTATGTACAGCGTCACCGAACTCACTCTTAATTGGCTCTTCTCCTTTGCGTGCGTGTCCCTGCCCCTCCTTGTTTGTTTTTTTTTCTCCTTTTTTTTTTTTTTTTTTTTTTTTTTTTTCCCTTGACTAAATTCTTAAGGTGCAGTCGAACCTCAATTTCCTGTTTTGGCTTCCTTTTTCTTTTCTTTTCTTTTCTTTTCTTTTTTTCTAATTTCTGTTTGGTTTCGTGTTCCATGTGTAAAGCAGAAAGAATCGTTCTACTCTCTTTCTCAATTCTCCCTCTCTCTTCCTCCCTTTGTTCCTTCTCGTCTCCTCCTCCTCCTCCTCCTTCCCCACGGGGTTTATCTGAACCCTTTCCCCTTTCCGTCTCTCCCAGCCACTGCTACTTCTCTCCCCCTCCGGGCTAATCTGAGCCCCCTTGCTCGACAGCAATCAACTGGATTTTTGTGTCTGTGTTTGTGTTTGTGTGTGTGTGTGTGTGTGTGTGTGTGTGTTTATTCTCATGCCTCTTTTAATGTTCTTGGGGTCGTTTGTCTTCAAGGGAGATCAGGAGGAGGTACGTATCGATGAACAATTGGCTGATTTTGGAAAAAAGACAGAAAAGGAAATGAAAAAAAGAATTGGCTGACTAGTCCTGGTCAAAGAAAACGGGATGAATTATTGTTTTCTGTTACACATCTTTTTGTTTTTTTTCTAATTGTGGCCAACAGGAAGAAATATGCTGGCGTGCAAATATTCTTACGAGTACTGGCTGTGTCATTTCAAAGTGCCCACGAAATAAAAACGACTGCTCTCTCTCTCTTTCTCTCTGTTTCTCTCTCTCACACACACACGCACACACTCTCTCTCTCTCTCTCACACACACACACACACACACTCTTTCTCTCCTCTCTCACACACACACACACACGCACACCTTTCTCGTTCTCGCTTCTCCACCGAGAACGGCAGCAACGGAAGCTTATTCATCATCAGTTCTCTGTTTGGTCACTTACCTCTTTGTCGGCAGCACACGTAGTTTTATGGCCGGAGATCCCGGTTGAAACTCTCTCTCTCTCTCTCATCTTTCTTGCTCTCGCTTCTTCACCAATGATACCAGAAAGGGAAGGTTATTAATCATTGCCCCTCACTCTCTGTGGACAACACGCGTAGTTTTCTGAGCGGAGGATGCCCGTCGAATCTCTCTCTCTCTCCTTCTCTCTCTCTCTCTCTCGACGTGTCTTTTTTGTGTGGAGGGCGTTCGCCCGCCGTAGGCTGGTCGGTTGCTGACAAGAATCGGAAACGTCACCGAAATCTTGTCATGCATGAGAGGGTAGGAGAGAGGTGGGTGGCTAAATTGATTGCTCGCTCACTTCCTCCCTCCCTCTCTATGTCTTGCCCACCTCCCTCTCTATGTTTAATCGTCTTCCCCCCGTCCCGTAGACTTTTCCTTTACTGGCCTTCTTTTTTTTTTTTTTTTTGGGTTCCTCCGCTATTTCGCCGTGAACGGAGGCCTGGGCGATGCTGTTTTACATCTGTACTTTTGGATAAAAGAAAAAACGGACGTGAAAAAGAAAAAAGAAAAAAAAAAACGAATCGGGAAATCGAAAATATGTATAGGATGATCTTTGAAGTCATGAATTTCTGGGAAATCGAATCTATGTATAGGATGATCTTTGAAGTCATGAATTTCTATGAAATAGCCCGTCTGGTCTATTTTTAGATTCGTGGTTTTACGACCATAGGGCTCGCTTGATTACGTTCCGTTACGTTTTTGTTCACTTATTTATTGATTTGTTTATTAATGACATTTCAGTACCTTTCGGTTTCTTACCTACTATAGTGAAGTTCTCAACGTTATTTTTAGAAAAAAAAAAAAAAAGTTGAAATTAAAGAATCAAATTTTCCAGTATCGGGATGGCTGCCTGCTCAAAGATATACACATTTGATATTTGTACAAGGACGTGCTATAGGAATACAACGTGCGGTGATTATAGCTGGATGTACTTGGGGTATCTTTCAGTCTAAATACAGCTATAATGACCGTACGTTGTATTCGGGGGAAGATGGTAGGTGTTCCGTTACGCTCCGTTCCGTTCCGTTCCGTTCCGTTCCGTTATGTTCCGTTTCGTTATGTTCTGTGAAAGTTCGTTTGGAGAGAAAGATGGTCGTCGGCCAGCTCGACTCTTCACTGCTGTTGATCTTCCCTACAGTGGAGAAAGAGGACCGTTGATCTTTCCTGAAGTGGAGAAAGAGGACCGTTGATCTTTCCTGAAGTGGAAAAACAGGACCGTTGATCTTTCCTGAACTGGAGAAAGATGAACGTGGACCTTGACTGCCGCTAGGTAGCAGATCACGAAGATCGCAGATCGAAAGAGGACACCCTTAATCTTGCTGACGTGGAGAAAGAGGAGACCGTTAATCTTGCTGACGTGGAGAAAGAGGACCGTTGATCTTTCCTAAGTGGGAAAAGAGGACCGTTGATCTTTCTTGAAGTGGAGAAAAAGAGGACCGTTTCTTTCCTAAAGAGGACTAAAAAGAGGACCGTTGGCCGTCGATCTTTCCTAAAGTGGAAAGGGAGAGAGTCGAGGGTGGAACCCAGGGAGACGTGCGACGAAACATCAAGGTGGGATTTTTTCCCCCCTCCCCCCCAAAAAAGGGAGACGCCCTTGAGAGAGGTAAGCACAGTAGTATCTAGACGACTCTGAAATTGAAAGGCGTTAAAACTAAATCAAAATATTTAAAACTATTCTGTTAACCTTTTCAATTTTCAAATTCAGGAAGAAGACCTGGTTGAAATCCGTGATATGGACACGGATGGGGACGAAGACCCCAGGGATGGACAGAAGGATGGAGATAAGGATCAGAAGGCCACCCCGTCACCGGCCAAAGAAACCCGAAATGAAGCGACGTCCCCTCAGGGCCTTGCGGAGGCATCCTCAAGTAAGGACCCAGAAAAAGCCTCGGTATCCGAGTCAGGGGTGGAACGGGCAGTCACGATGAAAAAACGTAAAGGATTTCCAGAGCAAATTCAGAAAGAAGATCTGGTCGAAATCCGTGACTCAGACACTGACGAGGACGAGAGTATGTCTGAAGGGGAGTCAAATGAGGAATCAGAAGAGGATCTCGAGGTAGAGGACCTTGAGGAAGAGGATCTTGTGGAGGAAGAAGAGATTACTGATGAGGAGGAGGAGGAGGTAGATCCGGTTAGAAAGAAAAATGTGTTTTGATAAACCTTTCGTGTCTTTTTTTTTCTTTTTTTTTTTTTTTTTTTTTAATCCTTTTATTTTCAGGTCCCAGTGCCCAAGGCAAACATACAAACTGAGTTATCTGAGTTATTAGTTTCAGGGGCTGCAGGGCGTCCGATTGCATCAAGCAAGCGGCGCCTGTCCTCTGTGAAAAAGAACCACAAAAAAAAATTAGCAAAACAAAAGGGATGCTCGCAAAAGAAAACCTTTGGAAAAAATTGCGAAAAACCAGCAAACACATCACCAATTTCACACAAAAGGAAAAACATCGAAGACAAATAATCAGGAAAAAAAAGGAAAAAAATATCAGACAAAAGAAAAAAGTAAAACCCCCGAGGGAAAGGGAAGGAAAAACACCAAATGCTGATCACGGCGGCTGCTGGACTTAGTATTAAAAAAAGATAGAAAGGAAAAAGAAAAAGAAAAACGAAAAGCTGCTGGAGTTAGTATTAAAAAAAGATAGAAACGAAAAACGTAAAGAAGGGGAAAAAAAAGGCAAGTTGTGCAGGAACATGAAAAGTTCCATGGGGCCGCGCAAAGGCCCGGGGTCCAGACCGTGTTTTAGGCCTGTGTCGAAAATAGGAATAGGCATCTTGGATAGATGCAGTAGAGCAGAGAGTAGGTAGGTACGAGTAGATGAGCGACTCTGTCTTTCGAAGTTAAACCGGTAATTGGTAATTTTTTTTTTTGGTAAGTAATCTATATTCTTCTCTCAATCTATTTCATCTTTCTTGGTAGTACGCATCTATCTCATCCTCTCAGTAGTCTATTTATAGTACGGGGGAACACCAACCAGCCAAGGTCCTGCCAATGCTGGCTTGGGGGCCCAACGGGTTATCTCTAGCTGGTAGAACACCAAGCGTGCCCAGGCACAAACGTGAGGCCAATGGGGATTGAACCCACGACCTCCTGAATGCAACTTCTGTGCCTTACCAGCTGAGCTAGGCCCGCAGGCCAATTGGTTAAAATCTAAGGGCCTCGTTCGACACCACTTGGAAATACTACACTTGGAAATAGT